GTGTTTGACTAGCTCATCCAGAAAACCAACTATGCAGGAGGACATCTTAAGGAAATCCGTCAAAAACCCAAACTGAAATCCACCACTGGAAGCATTTTAGGATTACACAGCGGTGTGCCAGGTGCACACGCCATCTTTTGGCCAGGAGCTGACGATCACGATCTCATTGAGCGGCAGGTAGTCTTACCCCCCCCTCTGGTTCCCACAAGCCTGGCACAGGCTTGAACAACACCAGACTGGAGGTCAGCCAGAGCCTGCTTTAATGAGACTGAAGCCACACCAAAGCCTGGCATATCTGTCCTCACTTAAGAGCGAACGTGCCACGCAGTCTGTGCGATGAGAGCCAACCTTGGCCCCGAAACAGTCCTCTGCCTGTAATTACTCTTTGCTATCAGACAAATCTTTTTTTTTTTTTTATACCTGAAACTGTTTTGAATATCTGTTTTTTTTTTTTTTGTTTGTTTGTTTTGTATGAACTCATGTGTCTTGAATGCATTGAGGGTTTAGGACTGACAGAGTGAAGCTATGTCAAACAAGACTTAATTGGTTTTGTGTTGGGTCATAGCAGCTTTTCTATATTGCTGACTCATAAAGTCTAGTTGAATACATAAGAAAACAGTACAGGTGCAAAATGGAACATGATTATGTCTGCACTCCCCCGCCCTTCATCTTTACAATGACTTTCAAAGGTATTTAAACCCCTTGTACTTTCCCACAGTTTGTCACATTATTTGCAACTTTAATTGTATTTTATTTGGATTTGTGAAGTTGGAGAACAATTAAGTGTTCTTTTTTTATTATTTCTTTTTTTTTCTACAATACAAGCCTAAAAAGTGTGATATGCATTTGCATTAATCATCCTTTTTCTCTGATACCCCTCTGTCATTTGATCTTTGGTATAAATCCAGCTGTTCTATGAAAGTCCCAAAGGTGTGTTTGAGAACTTCTGTCAAACGAAAAAAAAAAAAAAACATCTTCACGAAGACCATGGAACACAGGTCAGGGAGAAAGTTCTGGAGAAGTTTAAAGACGGGTCCAGTTCCACGCCTTGAACATCTCCACTCACTTGTCTGAAAATGTGCACTGAAAGGCACAACTGCAAACCTACCAAACGTAACCGATCAATTAAAGTGACTGAGGCAGCATAATAACTATGGGGATATTTTTGCATCACTTGAGACAGAGAAGCAGCTCGGAGTTGATAAAGGAGTAAAATGTTGGACTAAAACTTGTGTGAAAAGATGTGAAAGTGAGATAAAGGTTCACCTTTCTGCAGGATTAAAAACCATAGAAAAGCTCAGTTGGAGTTTTGATTAAAATCTAAGAATCTATGGCAGGAGTTAAAAACTGATTATCATAGACACTCTCCATCCAATAGCTTAAGCTATTTTTGCAAAAAAAAAAAAAAAAATGGACAAACATTTCAATCTCTAGATGTTCTAAGGAGGTAGAGACAAACCTCTGAAGGCTTACAGTTGTAATTGCATGCCAGTTTTTTTCGATTTTCACTCATAAAAAGATGGACAACATAGATTATTTTTCTTCCACTTCACAGTTATGCCCTGCTTTGAACCGGTCGAGCAAAACAGTGGAGATCATTTGGTTAATTCTGAGTGTTTCAACACGTAGAAGTCTCATCTGATCATCAAACCCGCTCTTTCTAACGGTCTCTGGAGTTGTAGGTGTCCCTGATTCGTTTTTCAATAGGATCTAAGACATAATATGTTGTTGTTGTTGTCGTTTTCTGTTGGCCTGTCTTGTTGCTTGGATGCGTAAAGTGGCGCACAGCACGAGCGCACCAAAGATCTGATTCTTTCGGGAAATATTTTTGACTACTTTTTCCGTTAAAATCATAACATTAATTCAAGTAAGTTTACTGGAATCTCATAAGACTTTAGATGATCTAAAAGTGTCACCGGTGGCATTTTTTGCGCAACTTTGCGCATAGGTTTTTTTTTTTTTTTTTTCCTTACAAAGGGGATGCCAGATCAGGTCGTTTCAGGGCCAAGCGAGATCTCCGTTTTATTTTATGCCTTCAACGTCTTTATCCTCACTGGACACGGATCATGGCGAAGTCATCCAACACAGGTATGCGCACTGCGCGTCCACGAGTGTCTCCATGCGGAGAGTTGCCCCGGTGCACACACGGAGAAACTTAACACTGATTTCAGATCTGTGTCCGGCACTTTGCAAGTTTCTCCCTCTGCTGTGAACAGGCTGGAAAACGGGAGGGTTGGAGACGCTTTGCTTCATAATTGATGTTTTCCCATGGAGGAGGAGCCCGCGTCCTCCGTGAAGGGGAGACAAACCGTAAGGTGGGAGAAAATCTTTCTTCTTCTTTTTACCCTGATTTCCCCCCCTCTTTTTTTCAGTGGGATAACATCAGGAGGGTTTGTCTAGGCGAGCCAATTAAGTCCCACCCCTGCTATAGATCGCTGCTATAATACAAAGCAGTAAAAGCGCTCGGCTCACACAAGCGGCTGCAGTTTAAACCAGAGATCCCGTGGCTTATAATTCTCTCACTACTTTTCTTTTTTTTTTTTTTCAAATATCCTCTTTCGATGTGCCCCATTATTACCATCAGTCTGAGGCGCTCATTTCCGCACCTGCCGCGGTAAGAGACCAAGAGACGCAGGCGGAAGAAAAAGAAAAAAAAAGGGGGAGAAGAGAGGAGACAAGGACATCGGCAGCTGAGATAAGACAGCAGCCGCAGCGGTGACTCTTTTTTTCTTTTTTTTTCTTTTTTTAGATCTCTTTTTTTTCTTCATTATTTTATTTTTAACATGCATCAGCGCTGGACCAGAATCGCTTCTGTCGCTCTCATCTGCTTGTCCTTGGTGTCCTCCGCGGTGGGATGCGGACCGGGCAGGGGCTACGGCAGGAGGAGACACCCCAAGAAGCTGACACCTCTGGCGTACAAGCAGTTCATCCCCAACGTGGCGGAGAAGACCCTGGGGGCGAGCGGTAGATACGAGGGCAAGATCACACGGAACTCCGAGCGCTTTAAAGAGCTCACTCCCAATTATAACACAGACATCATCTTCAAGGATGAGGAGAACACAGGAGCCGACAGGATGATGACTCAGGTAAGCGCACTGAATAATCTTGGTTTTTGTTTTTTTGTTGTTGTTTGTTTTGTTTTTTTTCTTATATATTTCCTTCCTCCTCCACCATCACCGCGCACTGCAACAGCCTCCCTGTCAGACTGATTGCGCACGTTAGGTGAAGTCTGAACTCTTCACACTGAGCCTTTTAACTTCACTGTAAATGCAGATGCACTCTGATGCGCCAGCCTGGGACTTTCTCGCACAGAGATCCAGCTGGAGGAGTGATGTGCAGGCGGACAGTCAGGACACTCGGCCTTCATTATTGTGACAGTGAATTTGAAATATTAATGCTCCCACCCCCCACCCTTCTCCTCCTCCTCTTCCTCTTCCTCCTCCTCCTCCTCCATCTCCTCATATCTATATTTGTATCTGAATGAGGCTCCATCTGAGAGCTCTGCAGAGCCTCGTTCTTTGATTCTTTTTGTGTGTGTGTGTGTATGTGTGTGTGTATGTGTGTGTGTTTCTGGATTAAGGTGATTATTGTGTTCCCTGGTGATGCGCTTTAGACATTTCTTCCATCTGGATTGTGCGCGCAGCGGTGCGGTGAACGATGTTGCATTTCGTAAAGGGTGGGGAGCCAGAGGACGTGGACCGGTTGCGCGTTTTCTGCAAGCGCGTTTTGCAGGAAGGACGGCAGGTCTTATTGCGCGACTCGATTCCTATCTCCCAGGCTTGCAGGACGCCGCGTCTCTCCGTCCTTGCAGTCGGCACTAAGAGCTCGGCGAATTAGGAAAACACTGAACAGGCGGCTTTGGGTTCGTATCGGCTCAGTGAGAATTAAAATGCGACGGTGGGAGTGATGGTGGCGACGGTGGCGCGCCGGAGTCTCTGAACTCGCGCCTTGCACCAGGCATGGGCTCCGATGAAATATTCACTGCGTGCGTGCGGTCTCAGCCTTCTCCACATATCCCTCCTCTCTCCTCTTCTATCCGATGCATTTAAGTTACCAAAAGATGGGGATTAGGAAATTACAGGCCTGGGTGGATGGCTTCTTTCCAGAGTGGAGCCGCGAGAATAAACTTAGAGGTTCTGTGGTTCATTTCCAATAGAAATGGACGATTTAAAGGAACTTGGGTGTTACTCCTGGAACAGATTTAAACACGCGTGGAAGGGAGGGTGATAACTTGGTTAAAAGTGTCGGATATTTCTACGGTACTGTAGTCACGGTTTATTTTTCAGGCAATTTGTTAACCTGGACCATGTCTTATTTTGAAAAGTTTCAAGGCATCCTCAATTTGACTTGAAGCAAAAGTTGAACTTCGTAAGAGTCCAAGTAGCAGACCTGTTCGCCTTTCTTTTCATTTGCATCACATAAAAACTATTACAACGAGGTAACACCCAGGCAAAGTGACCGCGGCTGCAGGTGACTTAAGCCTTATGTATAAAGATTCACCAGCGTGGTTTGCACCGTGCCTTAGGTCGCGCGCATTGGCGCGCAGAACTTTACGCGCAGTTTTTAACCCAGTCTCTGGCGCTTTAAGAAATAGACATTCACCGAAGGTCGCGAAAGGCGGTAAATCTGGTAGGTGGGAGCTGTGACAAAATGTACAAAACAATTCACTGAAGGGGACGCGACCCTGCTTCTCAGTGAAGGAAGTCCAGTTCATTGCCAGGGAACGTGAGAACTATCCCGTTTAGTCTGATAACAGTTTTGGAGGAGGAGAGCTCCAGAAGTGGAGGGGGGTTAGGGGGGCTTTTACTGCGGCTTCACCGCTCAGCTCCATGTGTCTCATAATAAACAGGTGGAAACGAGCGTATCCTCAACTTTCTTTATGAAATATCTTATTTTACTTTTTTTTTTTAAACACTAGCTGGTCTAAGTCTCTGATTTCTATTTTAACTTAGATGAGTTCGACTTGATGGATTAAATCGCTTTTAAAGTAGGGATTTATGCAGCGTAATAAGCGAAAGAGATGTTTGCACTGACAGGTAGCTGATAAGTGTTTCCTCTAACCGAATCATTTGTGGAAAAAAAAAGAAAAAGAAAAAAAGATTAAGAGGCGGGCTACTGAGCAACTCACCCCTCCGGAGCGCAAGAGCGCAGGTTTGGAGGCTCCCTGCTGGGCTTCGCTTCATGCATGGTGGCTGAGCAGAATTTGGCTTGATTTGCGGCACACGACCTGATGAATTAATAAACAGGGTTCAAGCTTTTTACGGCTCTTGACTACGACAATCCCCACTCTGTGAGTTGCTCCCCCCCCCATCTCCCACCTCAAACTGATTTTTTTTTTTTATTCATCACATGCTACAAGTGTGATGCACAGATTAAAGGTCTCTGTGAAACCTCAAAAATCTTGAGCTGTCCGCGAGGCTCCTCTGATATTTCACAGGTATGTCTGTCAGCAAACTAATAACACCTCCACTTAAGGAGGCATGTCACGTTTTCCAGGACTTTGCAGGAGCAGAATAATGAAAGTCGCCCCCCCCCCCCCCCCCGCCCCACGTTTGAAAGGACTCTTTGTGATGTTTTACTTGACATATTGAGAACAGTTGTCCTGGAGAGGGCCAAGTATCTTCACTGAGTGCTCACACACACATTTGATGGAGAGATAATCTTCATATCACCTCCAGAGCCAGTTATTGATTTAAAGTAAACAACAACAACAACAACAAAAACAGTAGCTTGAGCGTTTATAACGTGCTTATCTTGTTCAAATGGTCCCTTCTTTGATAGGGGGGAGAAAGGGGAGGAAGGGGGGGGGACGTTTCACGCACCTTCCAGAAACCAAAGACCCAGATGATATAGGGCCAGTGAAGCGAATGCAGTGCTTTATCCATATTTCATGAGCAGCTTTCTTACCCGAGCTGTGCCCTCTGACGCTGCTGCTCACACTGAGAAATGCAAGCTCAGGATCAGAGGTGCAGTGTTTCAGCACAGCTGAGAGAATTCATGGATTCATGTGGGGATGGAGAGGCTTCACCGAGTCCAAATGTTTGTCTTTCCTTGCTATATATACATATATATATATATATATATATATATATATATATATATATATATATATATATATATATATATATATATATATATATATATAAACAAACAAAAAAAATAACAAAAAGCAAGCAGATGTATAATGGAGAAAATGTGGCAATAAGATAAATATATATATATGCTTTTAGTTCAATTTATTCGAATGATCTGCATTGGTTTCAGCTGATTTACCCGATTTCTGCTCCGCTGCAGAGATGCAAGGACAAGCTGAACTCGCTGGCCATCTCTGTGATGAACCAGTGGCCTGGGGTGAAGCTCCGGGTCACAGAGGGCTGGGACGAGGACGGGCACCACTTCGACGAGTCCCTGCACTACGAGGGCAGGGCCGTGGACATCACCACCTCGGACAGAGACAAGAGCAAATATGGCACCTTGTCCAGGCTCGCCGTGGAAGCCGGATTCGACTGGGTCTACTATGAGTCAAAGGCCCACATCCACTGCTCGGTGAAAGCAGGTAAGCAGGGGCGTCTCCAGGACATTTTAAAAGACGGTGGCTTGGGGGAGGGGGGGAAGATAGGGACCAAGATCAAAATCAAGTCATAGAATTGCAGATTTTCTAATACTGTCTCAACATATGTGGGTGAGGGAGTGACAATTCAAAAATTTCCCTAATGCAGCTCTAAAGGTAAAAAAAAAAAACCAAACAAAAAAAAACACTTAGTTATATGAACAAATACAGCAACAATGTAACTTGTCATGTAACTTGACTACTCCTCTCAATTTATGTTCATGTAAAATATTATGCATAAGTGTCTTGTTACTGGAGGTGGGGTAGGGGTAATTTATAGGATGGTGATGACCCCCCTCCCTCCCCCCTCATTGATCTCCCCTGCTTGCAACGTTGCATTAAGGTGGGAGCTATGAGGTGCACACTGCTCTGCAAATAAATCCTCAAAAGCAGGTGCAGCTCAGGATTTTTTTTTTCTAGACTTATCAGATGGTCCTGCAAAGAAAAGTGAGGGGAGCTGACGACACATAAAGGCTGCAGATTTGTTTTAAAACAATGTCCTACTGGTTAACGCTAGGTTTGTCCTGGTAATGATCCAAAAGGTTTTCCAGGAGGGGGAATAAATAACTTCAGGGTGGCACATCTATGCTATATTTGTACTTGAATGTTGGACGTTCCGTTTTTCGTGACAGAAACGGAACAATAACATCCCCTAAATTCAGTATCCAACATGGCTGCCACACATAAAAAAAACTGATATGAAGTGTTTTTAAACATTTATCTTGTGTCTCAGTATGAGCTTCAGAAAAATAGGGGGAAAAAAAAACTTTATTACTTAGCCTTGCTAATTGCTGTCAGCAAAACAACAATCAACAATGCTGGATTTCCAATCTCCAACTTCAAGTTGGGTGTCGCATCATTTCCAGAGCATAGGTTTGACTTTTGAGGCAAATCAAACTATATACCATGCAGACAGGCTAGGGTTGGGGAACAAGCAGTACCAGGAAGGAGTACCTGTCTCTCTCTTACCACTGGGTTGTTTTTTTAATTATTATTATTATTACGTCAATTTGGCTCACAGCCCACGATGTAATTCTGTCAGGGGGCAACGATAGTGCTTGGGGAAAAAAAAGGTTTAATGTCAGTTGTTGTTGAATTGGTTTCCTACAACTCACCAAGTTGTCTAGTCAATGGAAGATGGGAATTGTAAGAAAATATAAACGTTCAGAGAGATTAGCCACTTATTTGAATTCAGATTCTTCTTATTATTATTGTTTAGGGAGTATTTCACAAATGGTTTTTTTAATTAACACCGACTATGAAATCGACATTCTGCTTCTGAAAAAAGGGAGATGTTCAATACTTTTTTGGGCATCAAGACAAACCTTATATTGTGCAACATTAAACAAATCACAGTGTATCACCAAGTCAGACCTGGACTAAAGATATTCGGGTTTGATTCCTGAAACCTGTTTTCGAGAACGAAATATACAGAAACAGGGCTTACATTTTTTTAAAGGGTTGGTCATCAGTTGTGTCTCAGAGAAATAAGGCAATTTTCTTTTCTCAATGCTTTTCTGGGAAGCTTAGAAAACAAACCCGTGGTGTCTAAAAAGAAAACAAACAAAATAAATAACACAGCAGTCAATCAGGTGCAACACAGAGGCTGCAGATTAAAAATAATTGTCTTCTGTTTAAAAATGTTCTCAAATGAGACTGATTAATGAACGTCGTATGCCTCCTGGCAGTGCAAATGGTGATGAGGAAGGAATTTCACAGGAATATTTCAGGCAGTGATGTATGAGCACCTATCATCCGTTTGCGAGCATTTACCATGCAGCTCACTCCTTAATCTTACATTGCCCCACACCGTCTCCTAGTGGGAACAACACACTGCAGTCTCAACAAGGCTGCTGGCTGTGACCCAGAAAAGCTAAAGCTCCACGAAAAGGATACAGAAATATTTCAGATGAAACCCATTTATTAAAAAAAAAAAACAACTTAATTTAATGATGTATTGCGTTTAGAAATGCCTGGCCTCTGCTTTGTCTCATGTTAGATATATATATAAAAAAAATCCAGGCCTTAACTGCATCGCACTTAAATTCCCTTTACCACTGACAGATGAACCGTCGCGCTTCTCTCAGTCCACACTTTATTGATAAATCCCTTATTCCTCATTCATCTCACACGTTCTGAGATCACAGTACGCTCCAGGCCGACATGTCATCAGGGGTCATGCGACTTTACAGAAAGGATTTGGCCGAACAATGTTCGCCAAATCTGGTTTGCAGTCGTCACCTCATTTCATGCTCAGGAACCTTAAAAGAAGATTAAAAGCCCCCAAATTCTGAGTAGAATCCCCCCCTTCCCCTATTCCTCCACCCCACCTTTTTCGTTTTTTTTTTTTCTGCATGATCCTAGAAACTGGTATGTGAAGAGCTTCCACCAAGGCCAAAATTATCGTCATCAAGACTGACAACAAAGCCAGGAGAGGCGGTAGACAGGGTGGTGGTGGAGGGGGTGTGTATTGATGTTGCACAACAGCAAGCATTTAAGAGTCCGGGGGCCACTCATTTAAATTCAAATCTACAACTCGAGAGGCATGGAAAAGTGGCTCCACTGGGTAAATAGTAGTTGTGAGTCGCCTATTTGTGTGAATTGTCACATGGAGGTTTCTGCACCTGAGTAAATATGGGGAGAGAAGCTGGGAAAGGCGTGAGTGTTCTTTACGAAGAGTAGCTCCATCCACCAAGCTGATTTAGAATAACAATGCTTGTTCTTTATTGGGCTTTTTTCTTTCTTTCTTTTTTTAATTAAGGATAGATGAGCCCAGGCTTTTAGGTTTTACAGGCCAAGCCAATACACATCTGACATCAAGGAGCCTGCGGGGCATCAATATGCAAAATGTATACAGGAACACCGAGACGTCTGAAGGCTACAAAAAAAAAACAAAAAAAAAAAGGGGGGGGGGGGGGAAATTAGTTCTTGAGTGACTTTTGAATGACAGCTGTTTTATGACAAGCATGCAGGAGCACTGAGATCTGTGGAAAATGAATAAGTTCAAGAAAAAAGAAGTTCTTAGGTGTTTTTGTAAAGATGATTATTATAAGAGATTATGTCTTTTGATTTCACACACACACACACACCCACACACATATGAGGCTTAGGCTAGAATGCATCTTGTTTGAAGAAGCCAGTTTAGCATCAGTATAAAAATGCATATAGGCCCAAGAAGATGAATGAACTCTGAAAGATCTGTAGAGAAGTGCCTTCTTCAGTAGGTTTTGTTGGATGTGCTATATTATAAATTAAATGTTTTTTTAATTTTACAGGAACTTTCATGTTTCAGGTCCCATGTGATACAAAGCAACCGAAAGAGCTTAAATATGCAAAAAACTTTGGTGCACATCAAAATGTGTCAAGACTGAAAAAAATTGAAAGAAATGTAGTTCTTTGATGGTGGCTATAGCACGTCTTAAAACCTTATGAGTTCCACAGGAACTGTCAGATTTAAGGAAAACATCACTCTCCAGTAAGCATGAATCAATATGACTGAAGGCTGAGTGGGAAAAAATCAAGAAAAAATACATTTTAAGTGTTTTTTTCTTTTTTCTTCTTTTTTTTTTTGAGTCAGTGTAATGACTTTACATAAACTTTTATTCCAACAGAAAATTCAGTGGCAGCAAAGTCAGGCGGCTGCTTCCCGGGAACCTCCACAGTCACCCTGCAGGACGGCACCAAGAAGCCGGTCAGAGACCTCCAACCCGGGGACAGAGTCCTGGCTGCGGACGGCGACGGAAACCCGATCTTCACCGACTTCATCATGTTCATAGACCGAGACTCCACCACCAGGAGGACCTTCTACGTGATCGAGACCGAGACGGGCCAGAAGATCACCCTCACTGCCGCGCACCTCATCTTCGTCGCCCGCGAGAACTCCACGCGGTCGGCGACGTTCGCCAGCGACGTGCGACCCGGACAGAAGGTGTTCGTCTACGATGGGGAGCGGAGTCGAGTTGTGGCCGTGAACGTGAACCGGATTTACACGCAAGAGCACGAGGGCTCCTTCGCGCCCGTGACGGCACAGGGGACCGTGGTGGTGGATCAGGTTCTGGCGTCCTGTTACGCTGTGATCGAGGACCACGAGCTTGCGCACTGGGCCCTGGCGCCCGTTAGGATCGCCCACTGGGTGTCCTCATCGCTGTTCGTCTCCCGGCCTCGGGTCAGAGCGCACAACGAGGGGGTGCACTGGTACTCCAAACTCCTTTACCAGCTGGGGACGTGGCTCTTGGACGACCACTCGATCCATCCACTGGGGATGTCAGCATACCCAAGCTGAAAATCCCCCCCCCAGGAACAAAATCAGACTCAAGTAGGACCCTCGAACTATCCAGTAGAATGACATATTAAATAATAATAATGATCTTAAAATAAAAAAAAAGAAAAGAAAAACGAACAAAAAGGCCCCAGCGGAGTTGGGATATTTATTTCAGTGACTTTTCCATGATGCGTCCCCTTTCAATGAATGAATGGAGCCTTAAAAAAAAAAATCCTCTTTGAATAATTTATTCTCATGTGAACTCTGCTGCTGCTGTCACAGAAATGGATTGTGAAACGATGCGAGCAGCAAATTGTGCATAATCTATTTTTGTATATCTCAACTACAAAACGCAAAAAGATTTGAAAAAGAAGAAAAACAACAAAAAAAATATAAAAAATGAATAATAATAGTAATAAAAAAATAACTGGACAGAGAAGAAGATCACTTTACATGTGCAACTGACTGTTATATTTTGGGGGTATAGAACAAACTTTGCGGGGTTCCATAAATTATATTTTTATACACAGAAATGTAAATTAGATTTGCTGCCGAATCACATTTCGTTATTTGAAATAGTGTAAGATATGAGAATATATTTTAATTTAAAAAAAAATACAGTAGCTTGGAAAGTATTGGAATTCTTGTACTGCTATTTGTTTTATTTTATTATTTTTGGTGTCATGTCTGCATTTTATGCTTTTTTGTGTGTGTGTATGTTTCTATTTTTTTTCTGTTTTCTTCAGAGGAAAAGAACATGTCAAAAAAAAATGCAGATTTTGACAGTTCAGTAACCATTAAAGTAGTACTGAAGCAACTTCGTTAAATAAATTAATAAGTAACTCTTGTAAATGTACTAAAATGTTATTTTTGTTTTTTGTTTTCATATTTTGTAATAGGGACATAGTTTTCTATGTATAGAAAATGACCTGCGGCAGATGCACATGTCTGGATAGTCTCTACCATACCAGTTAACTTTCATAACAGGGCGATGTGTCAAGAAATGTCTAGAGTTTATTATTTATATGTTTATTACAAAAATGAGATAAAGAAAATCTTCAAACTTGCAGTTGTCTTTGTCTAAATGAGTTCCACTTAAGAAAATCACCACATAAAGAAGAGCCGCCCCCCCCCCCCCCCCCCGGAAGCTCGTAAGTTAGCTTTACTATACAATTTTCTATTTGCAAACTGTGTGGCAATAATGAACAAGCATCTGGCGTTTTGAGTTCTAGCTGGATTATTTGAATTATTGGCGGAAAACTCAAGAACAACAAAAAAACAAAAACAAAAAAAAACAGAGAGAAAGAGAGAGAGAGAGAGAGAGAGACGAATATTGCGCTTTGAACTGCCTTTTGCGTGCTTGTGAAATGTTGAGAGCCTATGTCAAATTTAACGAGCTCTGCCCTCTGCAAATAACTTCCCCAACGTGCAGACAGATTAAACAGGAGCGTGTTTGTTGTGCCACCGGTGTCGACGGCTTCAGGTCAAACACGGGCTGCAGGAAATATAGTCCCAAAATCACAGCTTCACTTAGTCTGAGCAAATCTCCGTAATCCTCCGCTATTTTCATACAGTCTTATAGTACGCGTTTAGCGCTTAATGGAGAGCTTTAAAGGTGCATCTTGGTGAAATTGATTCCAGCGCCAATTTCTTGCACGGTGGCTTGGAGGTTATTAGTCAGTACAATGGTGACACCGTGTGGTAAAATAGTGGTACTGATAATTGGAGACCGTTGAACACGCTGATGCAAAAAAAAAAAAAAAAGAAAAAAAAAGGCACAAATATATCTGATCTAACAAGAAATGTTTGCATGACAGAAATAATCTGCGTTTAGGTTTCTAACATAGTTTATTTTTGTTAATCAAAGGTTAAATCCACTTTCACAAAATCCACTTCAGGAAAAGACGGCATACATCGCGCAATGCGATGCGTGAGGTATTTTTTTTTTCCTCAATTGTAAAAAAAAAATAAAAAAAATAAAGTGGATTTCTTAATCCACCTTTTTTTTCTTTTTTTACAATTGAGAACTAACTTTAAAAAAAAGCAAAGAGAAAACTCCATAAAATGGAGTTCCAAATTTCTTAGTGAGAGTCAATGTCTCAACTCTCACCCATGATCAGATCACCAGAACAAGAACCTGTAAAAGTGGCTGGACTGAGCTTTAGCCATAGCATGGGGAGCTCTTTATATAACGCCAGTACTCCTCAGCATCGAAGAGTAACTCGACGTGGTTCTGCCATGTGTCTAAGATTCCTCCTAGATGCTTTCCTCCTCTCATTGGGAGGATATCCTGGATTAGACCAAGAACACAAAGCAGGCACCATATATACGTTTTCTGACCTGGACACATCTCTTGGGGTTGCCTAGAATTTATTGGAGGGTGTTGCAGGGGAGAGGGATGTCTGGGTTACCGACCTGGATCTGTCAGCCATGTGACCTGGTCTGGATAACTGGAAGACTGACTGAAATAAAACACTTTTGAGGAATTTGTTCAAATTACTTTGAGTAGCCTTTCTTTGAGATCAATAGATTGCCTTAAAAATATTCTAGCACATATTAGATCCAAATAAAATACCTGCAATAAGACGAAGTGCCTCGTTTTAATGGGATGGGGCAGAAAGCAGTGTAGCAGTCTGGTGCTCATCATAGCAGCAGACAGAAAAAGTTGGTGCAGATGGTTGGTCTGACAACTTTTTTGTCCTCTCTGAAACAGATCTCACACTGAGGTTAACTACACTTTAATAGTCCTTTCAGATGGTGGTGTGGTGTATGGACGTCTCAGTCGTATATGCGGCCATCACAGGTTTGAGTCTCAGTCTGTTGACCTTTGCCACAAGTCTTCCCCCTCACTCAACTCACTTTTTTGTTAGCCAACTGTCAAATACAGACCACTAGAAAAAAAAAAAAACACCCTAAAAAAGACTAAAGTGGTGAATTTCAGTCAACAATTTGCACTAAAGTTGAAACAGAAGAACTAGTAACCCTTAAAGTGAATTAGAACATGGTGGGAATTAGGAAGCCTTAACCATACAGATTGAAAAACTGACACAAAAAGTCATCCATCATTGAGCTTTCAAAGGTTAAAAAAAAAAGGCCAGCGAACCTGAGTTTCTGAGCACTGTTGCAACATGAGCAGGAATTCCCTTTTCTTCTCCCACATTGTGTTGTCGTGTTGATATTGTGAGGTGGAAACTTCAGGGAGGAGACAAAGCGGCCCATCTCTGCCGGCGCTGTGACCTTGGGTCCCCGTCAGATACAAAAGCGTCCGCGCAGGGCAGCATTCCTCAGAGCAGGTAAACAGAGCCTCCTCTAATCCCTCTGGGGGCCCTCAGTCTGCCAGGGCTCAACAACCGCTTTTACAAACGCTGACATTCGCAAACATGAAGAGTCTGGCTTTGCTGGAAAACAAAACTCCCAGTTTCTGCAAAATGGTGGTGGCTGGCTTGGTCCATCAAAGTGCTTTTTTGCTCTTCTGTGGCGGCAGAGGAGTGGTAGGTTAGAGGGAAATGAGCAGCATCAACAACCCGACACACTTCAACAATAATTGGACAGAAGTCTGGTTGTTTAAGTCATTTTGCAGTTTCAAAAATAACTAAAACCAACCCCAACAAATAAAATATATAAATACTACTACACCAAAAATATTACTAAAGGTCTCATCTCTTCCTCAGATAAATTAAACAATGTTAATTTATCAAAAGAATATGTAATAAAAAATTAAAGGTATGACCGCAGCTACTCTGAAAATAGATTTTCAGCTCCCCTCACCATCTTCTGCAGGAACCTCTGGCCTGAGTAGTACTGTGTGGCTTCCTTTAGGGTAGGCATTGGGCCCGTATGAGATTCCCAGTGTGATTATCATGAACCCCAGAGGCTGAACACTACACACTCACTGAAATGACACCAAGACTCAAAACGACAGTTTATGTCAAGATCTATCTCCTTTTGCTTAAACTTGTCAACGGAAGTTAGTAAAGTGCGACTTTACTAAGAGTGGTTGATGGCATTTTTCTACGATCCAAGATGCATTATTCATGACCAGCAAATGACCAAGCCAGACTTTGGATATATGAGAAAATCTATAAAGTCTGTGGTGCAATCAGAAAGTTAATGGTTCATTTTCCCACTTCTACCAAATAATGAGGAGTTACTTTCAAGTTGCACTGCTGATCTGCGAATCGTATTAACTTTAGTGTGATGTGGTGAATTTAGCAATAGTGCAAGGCTCTTTGAGTGGTCAGCATGATTGGAAAAATGCAACAATTTAACCCAGGTAATGTCTTTCATCCAACTGACCAGCAGCCTCACAGCTTGCACATATACTAGCTGTGAGGCCCCCAAGCAAAATGCCATATTGAAAAAATCTAAGCAAACACATGGTGAAAACCATGAAAACATGATTAAAGCAAAAAAAAAAGGAAGGAAATGAAAATATGCAGCATCTTTATAATTTGATTAGCGAACCAACAAGTATAAAAGAAAAGCCACTTACTTTTTAAATCCTTTATACCAAAAATCCCATCTCCCCCCAATTAGTCAATAACACATTTGCTGTGTCAAGTAGTTTTATTTTCCATCTTTGCGTTGAAATGTAACATATCACAACTTTATGGAAACATTTTGCAAGTTCAAATGTACATAACTGTAGAAGACTTTCCACATTCACAGCATCAGAACAAACGGAACAATAATTTCAGACAATCCTGGTCATTTCACATTTGAAATATCACTCGGGTGTAAAAACACATGACGCTTTGTCAACATTTTCCATCAAAACTCCAACATGTTGGATTTCTTTCGTCACTGTTTGATGCAACATACAGTTCGACATCAGGAGTCCATAGAGGCTTCCGTTAAAGAGTTCGACCAAACAGTGATTGTCAAGAAGCTTGGAGGACGCTTTGGTGCAGAGGAAGCCATAAAGCGGCTCTCTCTAGAGTTACGCGTCTGCTCTGCGAGCCCAGAAGTCGTCACATAAGTGGAAACCTCCATCCACAGGGCTAACAAACAATGGTAATCCAGGCAGGCCAACCTGCTGCAATTCACTCAACAACAGAGGTGTGGAAGGAAAGACGAGAAATGGTCAAGTTTGTGTACCGTGAAGAACAAAGGAAAGAGGAGGCAGCAACAAAAGATCAGCTGAAGCTTTTCAGGGGAAGAAAGGTCAATAGAAAAACCTTCATTCTGAGTCCAGGACCTGAACAGCTGAAAGAAAACCCCAAGTGTTAAGCATATGAAACAGCATTAATGAGACAGGAGTGTCCTTGGTCCATCAAAGTGCTCAGATCAGCATTATTCTGTTGAAGATAAAGTGCATGGATTTAATTCAGACATTACAGACATTTCTAAATGCAAAACTTATTCGCCTGTGTGACTAAAACAGTACAAGAAGCGGATCGTATCAAAGACTAGGGATGTCACGGAGAAGAGCTGACTACATACAAAAAAAACAAAAAAAAACAAGTAAAATTAACACGTACCTCCAATAAAACAAAACTGTTTGTTACTTTATATTGCTATCATGTTTGAAATAAAAAAAATAAAAAAATATTTGAATTGAATTTGAATAGCTTCAACTTCCCCTTAATACAAATAAACCAACAGAAACAATCTGATCTTACTCTTATTTTAAGAGTAATATCAGATTTTTAAACATTACACAGAAAAAAAAAATCCAAATAATCCTAAAATGCAGTTATATTGACTAAATAGTAAAAATGGCCAAAGGAAAATCCATTTGTGATCAGAATAAACAACTGGACATTTTGAGTTAGGCCTGCCTGTCCTGATTGTGATAGCAAGAACACTCTTCAGTGTTAAAGTTGTTACTGAGAGAAGAAGTGAAAGGCTAAGCAACTATGTTCAGCATCAGCGAGATGAAGTCAGGAGAAGCGAAGAAACGCAAGAAGATATTTAAAAGGAAACTATTTTCTACAGCGTGTTGACAAATGTCTGAGCTACTTTCAGGCGGCATGAGAGTGAAAAAGAGCGCAACTTTCAGCAGATAACAGGAAGGCTTTTGATAGAGTACAGCAGAGATGCTCCATTTCATTTTCTAGAACCATCAACTTGGGATTGTTAGAACATACTGGATTTGCAAATGTTGGCACTGTTTAGCAAATCATAGTTCAGGTAGGGAACTGATTTATCAAGGGAACCCACAAACGCTACGGTTTTTGTGATGCTAGCCACGCTAATGGCCAACACAGTATCACAGTCTAAAAAGTCAACCTTTGTTTAAATAGTAAAACCCTGTATCACAGAACTGAGACGTTGTCACTGTTAAATGACTCATGTTTGCAACACTATTAATTCATCTACTTTAAATACAAGCATGCTGAACTAGCAAGGAAAAATACATTTCACCACATGCCAGGTCATTTATATGGTCACTCAGGCTTAAACCGCAATAAGTGCATCTTTAATGGATGGGATTGATCTGGGAAGAAAACATAAAAGAACATTAATATGAAGATTACAGCAGATCTTCAGATCATCTGGATCCCGAGGCCTAATACAAAAACAAACAGCAATACATTAGTGGTTCTGAGCATCCAACTACATTACATCTTTGACCAAAGCTGGCATAAACCTTCTGATTATCAATTAATTACTGATAGAACTTCTTAATAAAAGATCAGAGAAAAAAAAAAAACAAACAAAAAAAAAAATGCACAAAGTCTAAGGTGGTCTGATTTAAAAAAAAGTTGCTGCTCGTTAAACAGCTGTCTTCAATATTTTGTCAATATGCAAAATTACTGCATCAAGTTCAACTATTCACAGTTTGTATGCAAGCGATTCTTCATTGTAAAGTACAAAAGATTCAACGTGAATCTGTGTTTAGAATTATAAAGACATAATGTCTTATAATATTGTCATTGTGAGCAGCTTTGCTGATACTTGTTTCAAATCCACAGGATTTACTAATACCTTAAGAAAAATCAACAACTTAAAACACAGGAACATGACACATATAAAGAAAAAAAAATCTCTAAAATAGCTCAATTTAAATCAAAGAGAATGAAACACGCTGAAGTCAGTTCAGACACAAAGTATAACTTAAATGTAAAACTTCTTGTTTATGGCTTCATACCCTCAGTTAGTTACTAAGTTCTTAGTGCAGTAGCTTCATGAATGTGCAGCTTCTTTAAAAATTATTTCAATGAAACCCAAATTAGAAAGGAAATATCACTAAAAGAGTTTACGGCACATGCAGAATGGTCAGATGTAAACAAGAGCTTGTAAACAACAAGATTGTAGCTTAAGACACAAAATAAGGATCTCCATTTGGGGTGTCATCCAGATAAGCAGCCAAGGGAAAGTTTTGTCAAACTATCCAGCATCCATATTTAATACTCCAATTTTTCATCCATCCTCATTTCATCTAAATTATTCCACGGTAAAATTATGCAGGCTTTGTTTTATGAGGCTGCACATCAGGATGTCACCAAGGTAAAATCTGAACGTTAAAACGTCTAATATACCTGATAAAATCAGTGCAAAAATGGACAATGAGGTTGCATTTTTTTAAGCCTAGCTCTTAAATATTTAAACCTAGGGAATATTTTTTTTTTAGAAATGGTTTAATCCTGAAGTAGTAAAAATCTTCCATGTAAATGTACGACACGTTGGTGAATACCCACAAACTCACAGCTTCTGTGAAGTACAAAAGATTAAAATATAACACACATATAAAGAGACGTCGTTATGAAGGCACCAGACACATGAACATCACACATAACCAAGCACACATCTTTGAGCTAAAGTTTAACCGGCTTCACATACCAGCATGTTTACGGTATATTGGCCATGTTTTTATTAGGATTTCTTTTTTTTCGTTTTCCTTTAAACGTTTGTTGTTTTTTTTCCACTCATGAACAGAAATGTGTGTCCACTCAATTCTTATTGTGACTCTAAAATAGAAACACACCACTTGTAAAAAGGATTTCTCTCTGGACAAATTAGCTCAGCCTTTACATATAAAAAAACTAACTTGTTACAACTTGACTAACACAAGGAAAGGAAGTCAAAAAGGATAAATTAAGAGCAAACATGTCTTGTCTACTTATATACAGGACTAGTGGAAGTTTAATGGTTGCTCCCTCAACATTTACTACGAATAATATTTAAATGTCACCAACATCAGTGATATTTTTTTTGCGGAATACATAAAAAAAGTGTAGTGTAGAAAGAAAGAAAGGGAAATGAAATGAGTTTAAATGTCAATTGAAATGTCACAGAAAGCCCGTTTATCACTGATTTACATATTACTACTATATAAAAAGACAGAAAAACTTGGAAAAATATGTATCATAATAAGTAATGGGGAAATCTGGGAAATTTCCCAATAGCTTTTAACTGAACTACTTCAGCATGTTCAGACGAGTGTTTGTGTGAATTCAATTTGTAGAACAAGGTTTGAAAGTTTAATTTCTTTGACTTTTCTTCTGACTAATAGTGTTAAGCAGCGACAATGATTTCAAATCCGAGTAAACCACCCTGCTCAGTTATAAAGGCACCAACCAATCAGATGACTTCAAAATCTTAGATCCTTTCTCTGGCTTAAAAGAAAAAAAAAAGAATAAGGAAATAATGAAAGCAGTTTTTTCTCCCAAAGCAATTTAAAAAAGTATTCTAAATATAGCACTAGCCAACTATAAGAAACCAAGTCACTTTGATAATAATAAACTTTATATTTTTGGTACAGCTCTGAACTTTTGACGAGTACATAATCTGACAAACAAACAAACCACATGTCAAAAGAAAACATTTATCTCCAACACCTTACAGTCAACAGCTAAAAGACTGAATCACATTTAGAACAAAAATAAGCAGAAATTCTTTAACCTTTAAATCCAGAAGACTCTGAGGAGAACCAGAAAGGCTAAACGGTATTTACAAACTCCACAGAGTGCTTGGCATTCTGAAAACTAAACCAAATAAGGATCTCTGACTTCAGCTGCAGCTACAGTAAACATCCAATCAGCATCCGGGTCCCTTCTGTCCCTGCATGAAACATCCCCACTAGATGGCGCCATTGGCCAAAAAAAAACAAAAACAACCTGAGGAATAAGCTTAGGCTGAAACCAACAATGCAACGAAAGAGATAAAATACTGCCATCTACAGCGAGGGAGTAAAAATGACTTCTCCCTGCATGAAACCGAAGCATAAAATAAACACACCATGAGGTGTTTAAAGCTGAATAATAATCAAGTGTCTTTTTAAGTTTATTATAGATAACTCAATGAAGAGGGTAGCAACCATTAATTATCCCATGATAGATTTTACCGTGTCCTTTTGAGATGGGGGTTGGGGGGGAAAAGAAAGTTCAAACATCGAGGGATGATTCACTGTTTAGTGTCTCTTCAATGCTATTTTAAAACTACAGCCACTTGGCAGGCAGAATCAAACACATGCATGCACACGGTTATTGTCTTTGTGTGTTCACTTGTCCAAGCCGGAGGGAGACGAATGATGAAATCTGTGGCGAGACGACGAGTGCGTTGAAGAAACAATCCTGTACCCATGTGGAGCAGAGCTTTGCACGAGAGACTCCCGACCACAGCAGGAGAAAGAGACCCTTTGGTGAATCTGCTGAGCTCCTCAGCCATCAGTCAGCGACACATCAATGTGGGACAAATCAATCATGTGCCTGTGTAGCAATGGTGATAATATTGTTTGTACCACAGACTGCTGAGAGACACCGTACATGAAATCATCACAGGCTCTATCGGGGCTACTAATCATTTCATTATGTAAACAAAGATGAAAGGAAGGTGAGTATTGATTACCTATGGAAGCTCATTTGGAAACTCGCAGCATGCTGGGGATTGGAAAATTTGGCAATAGCTTTTCTCTGCTGCGGCATCATTTTGAACATCTGCAGGAGACACAGAAGGAATGAACTGAATAGAGAGAGAGAGAGAGAGAGAGAGAGATACTCATCCAATACACAAGAGAACGTGGGGGTGGTAGGGCCAACTGGGATAATTTATTCACTAACTTCCAAATCAATCCAACAGAGGGCGCTAAGAGATCACATTTCTACACTGGTGGAGAGATGAATTTCATACTCTTTGAACTTTCATATTTTTTTCACCAAGCATCAATGTTTTTACTGGTGACAGACCAAACATAGTAGAGCAAAACAGCAAAATTAAAGTGAAATTAAACCATTAGGAATCTAAAAAAAGCGTGACATGCATTTATATTTGATGCGTCTGAGGAACTGAACTTTTTTCCCCCCTTTCTTTTCCGAAAAGTAACTCAAACTCAGTCAAATTACACAAAGTATTTCTGTGAACATCAGTTTGTAATCTTGCTACCGAGGCCCCATTTACACAAAGCTGCTCTTTAGTCAAACTAACGTTTCTGTTGCGATCTGGCCGTTGTGTTACACATTCCCGGCGATCGAGTTCGAGTCTCTGACACGATCAGTTTTTGAAACCAGGTTTCAGAGTGGAAGTTTTCAGGAACAACTCCTGCAGAGGTGTGAATCGCTGTGAAAGAGCACATGCCCAGAACACAGGGCTGTAGGGTTTGCCTATGCCAGCACGGGCGAATAAAAACAACGGGTGATAGCGTTGTACTCTATTGTTCCACGTAACTTGTTCAGCTTAATACAACTTCTGACAAAAAATACATACTAATCACACAAAAACTTGGTTCACTGGAGACGGGTTGCTGTTTTCTAAATGATGTGAAAGCAAAGAGCCAAACAGCGGCCTGGCATGACAACTACAGACAATTCAAGGTGTCTAAATGAAGAATTTGTCCCAAACCAAGATCCATATTTGGTAAATACTAACGGGACAAGGGAGGGCAACAATGGCAAATCGTGATCTTGAGTTTCACCACAATTTCCGTATGTAAAATATATGTCCTTATATATAAGCATATAATGTATAAGAGCTCAGAGAAAGTGCTCTGTAGATCTCTTCATCAACACAATGATGGTGGATGCCATCTTTCAATCAGCTTTGAACAGCTTCCCTGTTTTTGAAAAAGAAAAGCAACCCCACAGCATAATGCTGCCACTGCCATTGAAGTGTTTGTTTTACACTGAAATTTAGCCGTACACCAAAGGATTCGCCTACTTTGACATGATTGCTTTTACTTCAAAAATTGCTTTCTTCTAGCCACTCTTTTTATCAGAAGCGTTGTTCCGTCAAATAAAACCCAAATAAAGGAGATTGGTGTTTGTGGCTAAAACTAAATCAGGAAACGTTTGCAAAAAAAAATTATTTTAAACTTGAGCCTTTCTATAGATGTGGTGTGTCCTACCTCTATGGGGCCGATGGACATGAGGAGGTTCTTGAGCTGAAACTCAGTGGTAGATGTGGAGAGGCCCTCGATGCACACAGTGCTGGGTTCTTTCTCCGCTTCTCTCTGGCTCTGCCTGGTGGGCAGCGGGTGACCCCGTCCCATCGGACCGGCCCCTCTACCTCGACCCCGGCCCGACACGACAACCTAAACCAAGCAGTGAGCAGAAATAAATAAAACAAGGCTTTGGGAAAAAATAAAAAATAAAATCTAAACTCTGCTTTTGTTGAAGATACGTTTCTTTGCACAAAGGTACGTTTAAAAAAACGTCACACATTTTTCCTCTTGTGCCTTTCAGACTTTTAACATGATTGACTCATCATATTTCTACACAGAACATAAACGTCAGAAGATGATGCCAGGCTGCGTGACATATCTTCATATGATCTTGTGTGAGAGAGAGGTATGTTTCCCCTGGTGCAGAAAGAGGAGGAGGTGGAGGAAATATGGTTATGAGTGTGTGTGTGTGTGTGTGTATCTGGGGGTTGAGGGAGCATAAAGGCAGAGCAGCCATGCAGGCGTAGTGGTGGCTGCCTTACACTGTCAGCATCTGCGAGTCTGGAACCAGTGACAAGAGCCTGGTGGTGACATGTGCGCAGAACGGCCAGGGGAGATGGAGGATCCCTGCTTGTTCTGCTGCTTTCAGCCTGTCAATACTCCTGAACCTGGCGCACCGGTCTGTCCCGCTGCATGATTGCTACATCTACCCGGCGCCGGCGTAATCACTTTTTTACAGGAGACGCTTTGGCTGGGAGTTGCCATGAAACACGAGTTTACACTGGTAATAAATACATTACAGGTAAAAAAAAAAAAAAAAAGATTCTTAGTGTCCTAAAACAAAAGAGACAGAGATAGAGACACAGAGAGATTTGTTTCATGTCACACCCTGCTTTGCTGTGTGTCTCCCGAGCCCCCGCGGCTAGCCTGCGGTGTTCCACCTGGTCCCGCTTGCTGCTGTCCCATCATGGTCACCTTCCTCTGGATGCCCTGGTTGAGTGGAGGTGCTTGCCAGGTGCCTTGCTGCTGCACTGGGCTGCTGGTTGCCTCGGGCCCCTTTCCGCTCTGCATTGGAACAATGGGGGAAAAAAAAAAAAAAAACAACTGAGTCACTATCCAAATTCTGCCCGTCTTTATTTGTGTGCAGCCCCAACATGAAGTATTAGGCCAACATTTTACACAGCAGCATTTGTCCTCCTATTATCCAAGAGCAGGATCATTCTGTGTTCTCTCAAACACGCACAGCATGTAATAATCGTAATGCCAATTTTATTAACCAATCAAAGATGAGTTCCTAATATTATAACCTGCATATAAAAAAAACAAACATATAATTTTCTTTCCGTTCCACTATTTGTGTTCGTCTGTCACGTAAAATCCCGATGAAATACATTGGAGAACGTTGAAAAGTTCAAGGGGTATTAATACTTGTGCAAGGAACTGTATATAATTGACCAAGGGTTGCGAAAGGAGCTCCACAAAAGAAACTAAATATCTGCAATCACTGCAACTGGATTTCTATCAGCCACTCTGCCGAGAATAAAGATCAACCCAACAAGGTGATGGTCTCATTATCAAATAAAGTCACAGCTCCGCTGTTGACATGCGGCGAGGAATTGAAGGTCGTCCCTTCTCAGACTCTGCAGAAAGATGTGACAGATCAATACACGGGAAGAAAAGAGCCGCTATCTCTGACCTGTCCCCAGCGGAGAGTAAATGGATTAATCCCTTCTATAGAAATCACAGCTCCTGATTGCGCCCATCAAATGCTAAGCTGCATTACACTGAAGCGACAGCAGCTCGATGTGTATCCCATCCCTCCCCCTGCTTTACGCACAACCATTTTCCTGAGCTTTTGTGTTTTGCGCTGCTTTTGTGTTACCTCTGATGAAAATATAATTTGCCTCTTATCTCTGTTCCTAAGCTATACAAATCCAAAATCCTCAAAAGTGGCAACTTTCTTACACAGGTATTATGTTATCCCCCCACGTACACCTTCAACCAAGAAAGATTAATTACAAGGGTCTTGGATTGGCATCTATTGTTGCCTCACACCTGAGAGATGGGTTGATATCAAAAGCAACTGAGGGATGACAGAGAGGAAAAGGGAAGGGGAATAAGAGGAGATAACATTGTCAAGCTCTCGTTGATGACAGCAGAACAATGCAGGAGGGAATCTTCTTCGCTCTGCAACTTATGAGGTTTTTCGTTTTCAACCACTTTTCCTCCACTTCAGATCCTCCTACATTTTTTCCCCCCTATAAGATTCAGGAAATCGGATGGCTCTGCACGTGGTTCCATTAACATAGTGACACCCTGTGAACTTCATCTGCAGCTAGTCTGCAATTTTACCGCAGCTGCTTCATCCTAAGGGATGAGGGGCTGAAAGCGGCTTATTTCAAATAGTATCACATCCCACTGACATGTGTCTTCAATGATGAGTATTAATGCTCAACACGCATTCCCTTTGTCATTTTTAAAAAAAAAAAAAAAAAAGATTAGTGTGCAATTAGAACAAAGCAGTAAGTTAACATAAACCTTCAAGTGTTTTTTGTCATCTTACAACTACACATTTTATTGAGATTTCATACAATAGCTCAATAGAAAATGTGAATAATTGTGAAGCAGGAAGAAAATTATGTGTTTTAAAGATTTAACAAATAAAATCCAAAAAGTGTGGCATGCGCATATATTTAACATGCTTCACTTTGACAGGCCTCAGTAAGATTCCAGCTATAATTTCTCTCAGTATAAACCCTGCTGTTTTCTGAAGGCCTCAAAGGCTTGTTAGAAAGCATTAATGAATGAACTGCATCATGAAGACTACAGAACACAGCATGCAAGTCAGGGATAACGTTGTTGATAAATCTAAAGCAGCATTAGATTATAAATCAATAACCCAAACTTTGGACAGAGCTCAGTTCAACCCATCGTCCGAGAATGGAAAAGGTATGGCCAAAAATCCATCAAACTATGCACATTAATCAGGACAACTAATAGAGCACTACACTAACGCAGCTTTTATTTAAAAATAGCAAAATGAAGCAATGGTTAAAAGTAGAAGAAATCCACAAGATTTCCTGTTTACAGTTTACCACACGGTAAACTAAAATCGTGGAAGAAGATTATTCTGACTGATCCGACCAAAACTCAACCTTTTGTCCCACAAACATTCTATGAATGGCTGAAAACTGTAAATGCACATCCTGAACTCATTATCTTTATGGTAAAGCAAGGTAGCAACTGTGTCATGCTATGTTGATGTTTTTTGTCCAGAAGGGACGGAGAAAACTGATTAAAAGCTAGATGGAAATTAATCCTGGTATCCTGGTATGCGTGTGAACACAAGAATGGTCAAGTCAAAGCACAGAGCTGGAATCACTGGGAGAATTTTATAAGTGTGTTCACAAAAGCTCTTTTTAGTCCACTTTAATCCAACTCTGGTTCGTTTGTCCAGAAAGTCCGATGTGAATGCATAATTAAACCCAGGTTCAGTTCCATTGAAGTGAACTATGGTGTGTTTTGAAAGCACATGTAGATGCAAGTGAACCGGAAATCGCTTCATAAGTAGTAATCAGACGAGAGAAGGGCATTCTGGGTAAATACAACCTAGACAAACGCGAGTGTCTAGAGCTAGTGGGAGAAATGAGTCGTGGTCTTTTGCCAAAGACAAAAGAGAAATCCTACAACCACTAAAATCTGACCCAACTCCATTTTTATTTACATTTTGTGAAGAAGGAAGTTGCCCTCTTTTTCAGAGGTCTTCAGAGGTTTTCATGTTGTGGATCTTGGTGCAGCACCACCACAGGTGAGGGGGTGAACAGTTTTTCAAAAGGTGTGGTTCTTTGGACAGTGCAATGTGAAAGCAAACCGCACCAGCTGAAAATAAAACAAAAGTTGCTATTTTGGTCCCCAATCGAACAGCGTCTACCAGACTATCGTGTCAAAAAAACAATGACGTTCACTATGCAATATGTTTGGGATATTTTGCACAGAAGAATGAGCTAGAATTTCAGTCTGCAGATTCGCAACACTGTAAAGATATGCCTAATAAGACTTGCAGCTGTAATCGACCCAAAAGGTGGTCCCATAAAGTAATGACTCAGATCTGTTCAACACCACTTAACGCACCCTGCGTCACTTTGCAAATATCGACAAAGTTGTTCAATCAAAGAAATATTTCAATGAAAAACTCTTAAGCATGGGATTGTAACATATCAAAATATTTAAAAAGTTCAAAGGGTATCAATAGATTTGAATTCCAGTGCATCAAGAGAGTATGAAATAACATTCTTGAATATCTTGTTATTCTTATTTTGCCCATCCGTCTTGAAAAGAGGACATCAACCTTTAAAAGCAGAGCCGAGGAATCTCCAACTCTACAGATAAATGTCAGACTGATCTTTTTTTATTAATGCCACCAGACTTTCTGAGTTCCAAGAGCTAAAAAGTGTGTAAAGACATTGAGGCTTAAATACCAGCTCCTAATGCTTAATAGAAGATACTGTTAACAGATCCAATTTTACCAAAATGACACAGACATCACCATGTCATTCTCATAGGTTAGATATCAACTACATAACAAAATAGACAGTGAGAGGGAATCAATGGCATTTCCTTCCCCAGTTATGCAGTTTCCCTTGTGGATAAAATCTACAGCAAAGGATCAAATAAATGTCAGACACAAAAGAAGGTGTCAAATAAAAATGAAATTCTGAGCTCACCGGTCCTGAAAGTTTGACGACTCTGACTTTCTGTGGCACCTGCTGGGCTTCCACACCTGAATTTTTCACTCGCTGCATCACAGTTCTCTTCGCCCCAGGTTTAGGCCCTAGAGTCTGAGCTGGGCCTTGCCTCACTGAAGGAGGGATGTTCTTTTGAGGAACTTGAGCACCCGGTTTGTTTGCACTCTGCAAAGAGCTGTTTCTTCTTTGTTGCTGAAGTGGCGGCTGCTGCTGCTGCTGCTGCTGCTGCTTCCACTGCTGCTCAGGACCTGAGCCGGGGGTCTGCTGCTGCTCCTGAGGGCTCCCTTTTACCATCTGCAGGCGTGACTTGACGTTGGGGCGTGGGGCAGGGATCAGAGCAGGAACGCTAGGAGGCATGGCACTGTCCTGATTAGGATTAGTTAATGTGTGATTTACTGACTGTTGTGGCCTCTGAGGAACCGGCCTCTGCTGCTGGTGAGCCTGTAGTTGTTGCAGGTTTTGTTCTTGCTGCTGCTGCTGTTGCTGTTGTTGCTGCAGTGGTATTACTTGCTGTGGTACAGGGTGCTGCTTTTGCTGATTTGGTAGTGAAGGTTGAGTCTGTGTAGGAGTAGAGTCCTGGTTTTGTGTGTTTGTCTGAGCGTTAAGTCTCTCCAGCAGCTCCTTCTTCCTGACACCAGCCTGCATCTGCCGCCGCAGCTCCTTCCTCTTCAGGATCTCCTCTCTCAGACGCTTCTGCTCCTCGATCTTCAGACGGTACTGCCGCGTCTCCTCGTCTTCGTCAGGGTCCTGCAGCATGAAAAGCATGTTGCAAAAGGTGATTTAACAGTAAAAGAGGGGCTGCTCAAAGAATAAAAAAATCACAATAATTGTAGTCAATTGCAAAATCACAATTATATGTCATAGTTATTTAATGGGGTTGAAGCATCCTTTATTTATTGCACTTGAAAACAAGTTTAAAGTTTTTTCCCCAACATTATGTTAAGTTGTATCTTTAAGGCACGGCTAATTTATTTTACTCCAAAGAGATTTTACATCATTGGAGAACGTTGAGACCCTGTCTATTCGCAGATTTGTCTGTGGAACGCAATTCCAAATTACTCATGAAAAATCTGAAGTATTCTTAAAAAAAAAAAAAAAGAAAAAAGTGCATATTGAAATATATAATATATAGAGACAACGCTACTTGACATGCTATTGGCTGGAGTTTACAAAGCAGTCAATCCAGGAGTACCATTTATTACTCCACAGTTTATGAATACTGTAGTATATTTGGTGTTGAAACATTAAAATAGAAGCTTTCATAGTGGTGGTTTCAAATATCCAAACATTTTAACTATTTGTGGTCCCAAAACCCACGAATATCAGAAATCCACTGTACAAAACATTTAACTCAACTTCCGCTACTTAGAAAAAAATAAAATAAAATGCTGGAGCTCACTTCTGAATCAGCAGAATTTCCCTTTTCTCTAGTTCAAAATATGTAACATTTAGACAATGTGGAATGGATTACGGTGAACCGCTGGTATTCACTAGGATCACTAACAGTACTGGCCAGATTGAGCCATATTTTTAAATAAATCTAAAATTTAAGGGACTGAACGGCTCTACTGTAGCAAGGCACAGTATTTCCTGAATTAATATACAGCGTCCCATTTTAGAGAAGCTTAACAGGGGAAAAGCATTTCTCAATTATCTGAACAGCAATTTTTTTATTTTTTATTTTTCTGGCAATTGGGTCTGATCCTAGATCACTGACCTGTGGTATTGAGCTGGACGGTGTGTTTGGAGTTTCCTGTTGTTGAGTCACCACCCTGCCTGCTTCCCCAGCCTGTGGCTCAGGCTTCGCAGCTTGGCCTCTTCCTCTGCCACCGCCATACGCTGGCTGAGCGTTCTGCCCCGGACGCATTCCCGGCGTTGTCCTGGCAACAGGGTTGATGTTGGCAGCGGGGGAGGAACTGTTCATGTTTGTGTTAGCAGGTGCTACAGGGAGCTCCCGTAGGTTGCTGTTGCGGTGCTGCATTGGCTTGGAGATGGGCGTGTTCTGGAGACACAAAGAGATTTAATTCAGGTTTTAATTGCTTTTTATCTACTTGCATAATTTTGGTCTCAAATTAAACTGAGGGGTTCTAACTGAAAAAATAAATAGAATGAAAAAAAAAATACTAAAGGCTAATTTTGCGACACTATGGCAAAACAGAACACTCTGACCAATAATGACCTTCTCTGGTGATCTCTTACCATTCTCTGCCTGTTTGACATGTTCCTCTGTGGGGGGTTCTGAGAACGGGGATTCATGTGCCTGGGGCCACCATGCCCCTGCTGCTGATGGAAAGGATTTTGACCATGATGTGTCATGGAGCGAGGCTCATTGAGATTTATCTGTTGGTGCTGCTGATGGGGCATCTCTTGCCTATGGTGGTGGTGGTGCTGCTGCTGATGTATGGGATGGGGAGATAAAGGATCGTGATGTGGCAGCTGGGAGACAGGAGGGGTGTGGATCAAGCCCTGCAACGGTAGCAGAATTCACATTAAAACAAATATATTTAAATCATCTTGAATTGTTTTTCTATAAAATGTTTACTCGGTAATGGACTGCAAACTTGTGTCCAACTAATATCTGTTTCGCATGGAATACCCCAAGGCTCTGTTGTGGGGCCTTTACATTTTTCTGTACATGCTCTGCCTCCCAGAAAACACGATCAGGGAGCAAAATATTTTTTTTGCCGTTTGATGCCCACGGCACCTACTTGTACCTCTCTCTGAAGTCTTCAGATTCCCTATAACAGCTCCTCTTCTATCTAAGTGAAATAACCTAATGGATGAAAAATTCTGTTTGCAAAGCTGGCAAAACTGAAATTTAGGATTTTTGGTGCACCAACTCAGATACAAACTTTGAGGCTCTTAATTCTCTATGCAGGTTTTATGCTGAAGCCTAACTTATTCGTGTGTGTGCATAGCAGAGGAAAAAAAGAATTACAAGATTATCCATATTCATTTTAAAGGTCACACTGCTAAATGATTGGAGTACTTAGTTTTGATCGATTTTTCAACTATTGACCAGCTGATTACAAACAGAGCAGATCAAAATAAATGCTATCATCACCAAAGGGACCATTTGTTTTGGAGCCAGAAAAGTCCAAATATGATTGACATAAATACAAAAACAACAACACGCATGACAGAACTAGAATACAAACATAGACTATGACACTCTCTGTTTTGGCCAATCAGTTAAAATTATGAATAAGGTTATCCCTAAAAGGGACAAAGGAACATTTTTGCCCGTTTGTATTGCACTTTATTAACATGGTTTTAAAAATACCTGGTAATAAATCTTTGGTCAACAAGAATACGTTTAGCTTTTCTTGCAACTCTAGTCCTGTAGAGATGGGGGAACTCTACAAGACTTAGCTCTGTAGTTTTGCTGCACATATTTATTACACTGTTTAGTTTGGACTTCTGCTTTAGAGTGAGAGACTCAAATCACTAAATAAAAGTAAAAGCTAAAGCTGACTGAATGAAGGGCAAAGTGGAGACTTTTTTCTACAGTCATTTCACTTTTCTTCAGTTTTTGAGAAATTCATCTTCAGAAATGACACCAATAAAATCCTACAGAGTCACGGTCAGAATCCTTGTCAGTAAGCAAAGGCGCCTTTGTAGAGTCATATGGAAACCTGTTTCCTTTAATTAAAAACTGGAACGTTGATCAATACACTTCATTTATCTTTGCTTGATGATGATTTTGATTATGGCAATTGGCAAAATGTGACATTTATTGCTTGTTTCATAACTGGCTACTCTGTCATGTTGTGTAAAACACTTTGAACTGTACTGTTACTGAAATGTGCTAGACAAATAAACTTGACTTAAAACTCAAATTTGAGGATATATATGAAGGTCTTTTCAGCAAAACCCTTCAAAGATTACTGACCTATTTATTTGTATCCACCATCAAAAACAGACAAACTTCTCTGGAAGACGAGGCTAAAATCTTACCTTTGTATTTCATAGCCTACTTATTATCCCACTTGTCATTTCATTCTGCAAGTATCTATTTTATATGCTACTTAGTAGTGCTTGATGTAAACTTAACTTTAATTGTTGCTTATCTCATTTGTTGTTGGATTTCAAATATGATACGACAAGGATTCCCTCACTAGGGGGAGCTCTAGTCTATTTCTCTTGACAAAATGCACTGGCTCTTGCTAAGTGAGACTGTTTTGATAATAACTTCAAGTTTATGGGAACGTAAAAACTACTCAGAACACTTAATAGAAATTTCAAGCAGAATCAGAGGAAAAATAAGAGAAAGGAAAGAATACCACTTACTCTTCGTTGTACCTGCATCCCAAACTGAACTGGTGGAGGGGGGAACATGTTGCCCTGCTGGCCGAATGGCTGCCGAGGGCTCATGAAAGGCCGGGGCTGGTTTGGGGGACCACCTTGTTGATTCAGGTTCGCCATTCCCTGGTGGCCTTGGTGGGGAGGGAGGTTGGGTCTCGGGGGTTCTCTCTGGAACAGTCCTAACGGGCCCTGGCCTGGCTGGTTGAAGGGCGCTCCAGGAGGGCCGAAGCCCATGTGGGCCTGTCCAGGCAGCTGCTGCTGGTGGTGGTGGAGGTTGTTGCCGCTGTTCATCAAAGAGCCGGGCCCCGGGTGATCAAACATGTGCTGACCTGGAAACCGCGATGAATCTCCGCACTCTGTGGACACACAGGGAAGACAAAGCAACGACAGCTCAATTTAGTTTGTTTCATCCCAAAAAGAAGAAATTTCACATTTCTTTGCAGCATGAAAAACATCAGACAACTCTATCAGGGTGAAGAGGGGAAACAAGAGCATAGGTTATCAATTTTACATTAACGACGGGTATGAAAAAATCATAAATATGTATGTTTAAAGCCATTTCCAAGGTTCATTCACATGTATATACATACATGCATTTAACATGAGATCTGCTAATATAGCAGCACCAGAGAGCTGGCAGCATACCCTCTAGGTATAGAGCTAGAGGTGATGAAGAGAGCTCAATATGCTCTGAAAGCTTCCCAACACTCATCAAGGCTAGACGTTGAGACTCACCTCCTATAAAGAGAGGCTCCCTGTCCTGAGGGCCCTGAGGTGGCTGGTTCCTTAAGGGCTCCATGTGATGAGGCGGTCGCTGAGGTGGACCAAAATTACCCGGCATGTGCTGCTGGAAGTCTCCCAGACCCTAGGAAGAAAACCCCATGAAACTCATGAATCATTTCACCAATCTGGGAAATCAATAATCGAAAAACAACTCTAACTAATAAAGGGAATTTGTAGAGAATTAGACTGGGCAGGGAGAATGTGAGAGTAATTGAAGTGCTGGGGTCTTTAAACAGATGTAAACATCAATATGCATGCCAATACCAAAGGAACCCTTCAGCATGAATTCCTGAGCAAACCTGCATTAATATTTCTTGGGGCTTTATTGATATAAATGAAGAGCCAGTGTCTAATAAGGAAAAGGTGTTTCAGGGGGGGAGATAGGTGGCCTCATCTTTGTTTCAACCACTTCGTCTGGTCGACAGCTTTCTACTCTAAACCCAATCAATTTAACCAAGAAAACCAGATAACTATTTAATCCCTCCTTGGAATTTGAATCCCCCCTCATAACTGTCTCCTTTATTCTTTAAACATCCATCTCTGTTGAAAAATTAACCTCCTATTCAACACGTGACACTTCCACAAATGGGCTGCTTGCCTCCTCTGAGCCTATTGTAAATTACTTAAGATGCTATCAAGGCCTAATCCATCTTTATTCCACTGCTCTATGGAGGTATTTAGAGAGAAGAGGTGTTAAAAAGCAAGGCCAGAGTCCCCAAAACTTGCTTAACATAAAGTTAATCAAAGGGGCTTACGAAGACAGGGGATCACAATGGGGGCACAATCATACTATTCTAAAAGGTCAGACAGACAGGTTTGCACAATGAGGACTCCGGTGTCCATATAATACCTCTCAAATACCACAGCTCATCCTCTCACTTCTAATCCTTGATAAAACAGTGTCTGGAAAGCTCAATATTTGAATGAAGCTGGTGAAGCTCCAAGCTAAAAAGGTGTAATATAAGCAAATATATTAGAGGAGGCCAAATGTTAAAGCACCCAACTCATAATGAACATCTGATTTTTAACAAGATGGGTTTTTTTTTAAAAAGAGAATTTATATTGATTTCTTAGAGTGAACAATAAAGTTGACTGATTGTTGAAGTATTTGAATTCTATGGCAATACATATGCATTGCTATTTTTCCCCTTTCTAACTCAATTTTGTACCTGTAAAATAAATTTTTCATAGCCACTGACTTTAACTTTTGATTATTGGTTTGTTTGTTTTCGCCAAGAATTTCAATGAATTATGGCTATAAAAAGTTAATGCAAAAATGCTCAAATGTCATGTGTAATTTAATTGTATCTTATCATCTGAAAGCTTTGTCTTGCACTTGATTTCCATTTATTTTAATTCCAATCCATTTTTGGGCCAACCGTCTGTTAAAAAAAGAAATGAGGCAATTCATTGGAGTCATTTAATCAAATATTTGCAGCAGAATGTAGAAAATCACTTTAAATTGGTACAAGTCCTGCAATGAACTGACAATTCAGATGAAATAAAAATTGGGGAAAACAAGACAACAGATGGACAGGATGGATGGATCTTCATTTTTTTTGTTTTCCCAAACAGAGAAACTGCATATTTACAGTAAATCTGTAAGAACTGTGAACTAATCCTATCCATATACTGAAGGTCTGTGCTCATCTCAAGCTTGGGTGATGTCAAAATGGCTTTGAAATTGGTACTTTTTTTGTGCTCACACAGACAGAATAAAGGTTTCATAAATGTCACACTGCAGTTAATAACTAAAAGAGTCCCAGTCCCAGCAGATTTTGATTTAAAATAATTTTCATTCAACCAAAAGGTTTGTTGATATGAAAACAACAAAAGAGTGTCAATTAAGAAAATATATATCTGGATTCATATGCATTTTGGTATGTGGAAAATGTGATAGAATTTTTTCAGCAAGAAAAGAAAAAGCCTTTCCTGGCAATAATGCAATCAAACTATCATTATAAGAGCTGAGCAGCTTTTTGCACCTTTGGTGATAAACTCCAAAACTCCAAAGGCTTTCGGACTTAGGCGCATCTTAAAATTGGGAGAAGGAGGGAATGAGACATGTGACTCATGTCACATGCCACCTATAAATGGCAATTACAGGGGATATGATGGCATCTTTGAGAGCAGGACTGATTAAGATGGGAGAAATTAAAAGTACAACTGATTCCAGTTTGATCCCAATGACTACCTACTGTGTGTAGGATACTGATTCCAAAACTCCACATTACCTCGCAATAGAAAAAAGTTTCAACTGTCCCTTTAAAATCCCACAAACAGTCTCAACCTATCGTTCTACAGTTCACAGTTCTAACATTATTAGAAGCAGTGTTGCACAGAAGTCCCGTTAACGTTTGTAGATGCTGACTGTATTTCAAACCGTAACTAATAAACAGCAGGGCAGCAAGAAGATGAACTGGCTAGCTTTATTTTCTGGCCGAGCACAGACGCTGTTGGGACATTAATTCTTTTTCACACACCTCATTAGCAACTCCTTAAAGCCATCAGTATCAGTAGGCATCACCAAGAGACGTCCGTTCATAGATGGAAGTAAGCCAAGCTTCCCTATCTAGCAGATTACAATGTAGAATAAGGATTCCCAGAATGTAGAAGTTTTCAAAACTAAGCAAATAACTATCAAATAAACAGCATCCATTTTTTTTCTTACAAAATGTTCTTTCAAGCATTTATTTTTTTCCCCTCTCCATATGTTGATTTTTAAAATAAATTAATCATTTTATTGAATAATTTTAAAAAATCATCACAAGTTGGAGTTTCGAGGCTTAAAGATGTGTAGAAACAAATATTCCTAACAAGGGCTTTAATTGGTGTTAAGATTAATATTTCAAAACCTGTCTCCACCTCCAAAGATTTAATGCATTAATACTGGAGGCTATGACCCCCCATTAGTCCAGCCTTTAAACAATTAAATTTGATGGGATGATAATGTATGATAATCACGAGTAATCACATGTCCACTGATAAATGGAGAGTTGCCTGCTGGTGTGTCACCTGCATTTCAAATCATGTCCTTGGCAACGGTAGCCTAAATGTGATTGACAGCTGGGGAATCCAACATCGTGCTGTTTATCTCCCAACTTGTCTGAATCCTCTTCCCAATACATCTTCTGCTTTCTGATAAGCCCAAACTGATTTTTTTTTTTCAGCAAGTCTGCTGTCAACATCCAACATGATGTTAGACATATGGGAACAGGAGCAGCATCATTCTGACACAGAAGGTTGAGAAAGAGGTAAATAAAAATACAGCTTTTCATTAAGGGCGTCTCCAGAGAAACCAGAGGCTCATTTGTACATCCACATGAAGGCAATTGGATGTAGTCATTTTCTGATTGCTAATTTGCATAAATCCATATAAAATGCAATTTCCAGAAATATGTCAGTCAGCAGCAGCACCACCTGATGCCTGGGCATCATTATCTAAAAGGATGGCGTGACTTAGGGCACTTCGGCTCACTTTATGGCAAGCAGGCTTCTTCAATGCAATTATGACTTGAAAGATATTTCTGTCGCCTTTTGGGAGGGCTTCTTTGTGACTCAAATGGGAGACCCTTTCTTCCAGAAAAATCACTAATCTCAGATACAGTTGTATGCCAAATGTAAGAATATAAGATGGAGGGTGGGGGGAAGCCTCAGTCCACCACCATGTTTCACTAGCTCAGATATCATTGAGAGAACGTTTCTGCGTCTTTAGGACACAAACTTGCAGAGAGTGAATTTTTTACCAGGAGTATATCCCATATTCACAATACCATTATGTGCCAAGCTGGCTTGTCTGAGCTCCACACCATCCATGAAGAGCTGTTAAGTAATTCCCGTCACAGCAGAACCCTGCCTCCAAAAGTTTTCAGCCTGGAGCTCCTATCATGCGTTTCCAGTCGCACACCCAGGCTCGTATCGCTGTTTACGGATTTGCTTTAACAGTATTTGGTCAGTGCAGACGGTCTAATTGAAGTAATGATATTTCCTCTAACATAAAGGGACATCGACCGTGTGGCGAGTGAAAGAAAGTGAAGCAAATGGAAGGTGGAGGAGCAGCTGCTACTCACAGGAAACCTCTGAGGACCCACAGCAGGTCTGGACTGGCTCTGAGCAGGAGGCATCAAGGGCACTGCAATGAGAAGAGAGGGGCAGAAATGGGGAGCAAAGGGTGGGGGAGGGGTGGAAAACAAGGAAAATGAGAGGCAGTAGGCAGAGAGACGGGATGATTGCAGAGAGGAGGAGATATCTCTATGCTAAGGTCTCTTAGGCATAAATGCTACAATGCTACATTTCCATATATTTTAGTTTTTTTATTTAATTTAATTTAATTTTTTTTTTACGTTGATAGGTATGGAGCAGGGAGGTCATGGCAATAATATTAGAACAATTTACAAAAAAAGTAAAGAAGGCATTTGCAGTTTCATAACATTTGGCATCAAATAATTCAATTTTGATGCAACTACGTTTCTAATAACAAAAAAAGGGTCCAGAGACAGTTAATAACTCATTCAGAGATTTTCCACTTAATTGTGTGTAAATAAATACTACATATGCAAAAATGAATGACACGACAGTAACATCATTCATATGTCATACAGTCTTTTAAGGGTTTTTCCAATATTTCATTTCAATCTTCTGTATTTTTAAGACTCAGTTTTCAAGATTTTTTTTTATTTTATATTTTTGATTTTTAATTTAAAAACATTCAACATCTGAAAATTAACATCCTAAATCTTGACTGATTTATCACACACTAAATACTTTGAAGCCTAGTTTGTGATCTCTGATACATTTTTTATATTTGCAAAAATTAAAAGAAATAGATTAATTTAACACCCAGTTAGAAACCACCATTCCAGAACAAAACCCCATGGTGTAGCGATGGACTTGAGACTCAGTATACTTTCATCCGAACCGCTCAACAGTAGCTCTCGCTCAATGCTCAGGGTCTTTGTCCTGCTAGGAGTTGATTACACTCCAGTCTCAAGTCTTTTGGAAACTCTAACAGGCTTTCTTCCAGGATTGTTCCACATTTTGCTTCAGCCACCTTCCCACTGACTCTGACAAGCTTCCCTGCTCCTCATGAAGACAGGACAAAATGCAAACATGGCTTACTATGGCTTTATTTTTTATACTCCTAAGAACCTGAATACATGGAGCGCAGAATTACTGGATTAATAAATAATATTGTACATCCTTGTTTGTTTTTTGTCACCAATAAAAAAAATAACAACTCAAGTAATTAAACATAAGAAACTAAGACAACTCGCATCAAAATAAAAAGTCATTATTGAGACACGCTGGTACTGATGGGATAACCTACTTTGTACAGAGGACTGTGCAGGTCCTCTGAAGTGGGGGTTAATGTGGATGTTTTTGGGTTGAGCGGGCTGTTGCTGGTGATGCTGAGGGAAACTAGGCGGCGGGGAACTCATCATTCGAGGTGGGGGTTGTTCCAGCTGGGGTCGTAGCGGTGGGGAGCGATGAGCCAGGTGAGAGGGGAGCAGCGGCTGAAGAGCCTGCTGGGGAATGGGGCGTCCGTGCTCCTGGAAGGGAAGTGGTCCTCTTGGACGCGAAGGGTGGTGCTGATGGGACTGCAGATGCTGCTGATGCGGGGAAGGCATTCGAGAGGACGGCTGTTAATTGGAAAACGTAAGAAAATGAGACAAGCTGTCAAAACACGGGTCTTCCCATTAAGAATGACACCATTTCATTTGCAACATGAGGTGTAACTGTTAAACAGAATCTTAATTTAAGGAGTATTCATATCCTAGTGGATGCTTTCCAAGTGAGCTACAGTGAACATGATTCACAAACATAAACATCTGTACCTGCAAAAATATACTAACCAACTGATAAATGCTGGGGGGGGATCAAACGGTACAGCTCAGTGGCGTTTCAAATTGATCTTTGATAATTGGTCAAGCAAACAAACAAACATGCCACTGACCACATTAGTCAAATGGTAAAAACCTGACAATTACAGTATGTCGCAAAAAGCACGACCTCATTAACTGCAGACAACAAAATGTTTGTGGTGTTGACATGTCATCCATGTGCCATTAATGTTTCATTCCCTGTGTTGGTGTTGTGTGTGGAATTTTACAGCTTATTATCATTAATTAATATAACCTAAAAAAAATAGAAATGCAGTGCTGGAGTTTAAATGCAGCCTTGAGAACTACTTTAACCTTAGGGGTTCTCTTTAGCTCAGTTTGTTTTGTTACCTGTAGCCTTGAGCTAAAGTTTGAAGAACCGCCACAGATCTATACGGCTTTTGTTTAAAAATTTATTTAAAAGATATTCATTTCAGTTTGGTTTATGTGTACTACTTACACGAGGCATCGTTGCAGCATATTAAGTAGCTCGGGTTACAACAAAAAGCCTGATATCAACAGTTCAGATTTTTCTTTCAGTTTGTGTATCACCCTGAATACGTACAAGAGAAAAATCAGGCGAGTTATTTATAGAAAATACAACTCTTGGAGAAGCTATTTTCCACAAGTAGCCACTAATAAGTGAAACTAAAATTAGAAAAACATCGAACTGGAGATATGCTCTGAAGATCAGAAACTGTTCATATATTTGAACTTGTCAAGCTGTATGTTGTCGTTGGAAAGACAGACGTCAAAACAAGATCTATCAAATAAAAACATAGTAGCGTGACGCATCATGGGCAGAGTCAAATGAAAACATTTTTTTTCATGCTGTTCTGTTGAAGTATAAACATTAAGAGTACTTAGTGTCAAAGTTTGATTTGGTGTTATTACCACATGGTACAACCATGTTTTTGGTTGTACCCATATGACATGTTGGTATATATATATAAAATTTGGTTTATCGGAAAACTTTCAAACAAAAAATCATGTCTTGTTACATTACCGCTAAAGTATCGATGTTATTATTCAAAATAGTGTATAATTTCTCAGTACGTCAATATTGATTTACACCCTGATAATTTGGAGGTTAGAGTTGTCAAAACAGAAAATATTTGATATTATTTAAATGTATTAAGCCTGCATTTGAGCTAAACTGATTTTATGAAAAATAGTCACAAATGTCACGAGTTCATAGCATAAAAAGGAAATAATGCACATTACATCCAGGTAATATAAAATGACCACAAAAGAGGCTTGCACACGCAGATCAAAGTGCAAAAATGTGCTTTATAGAAAAGACTGACTTAAGAAGATTGAACTGAAAAGAATATGCCACGCTGTTCATTTTGAAAACCATGTATTATTTTCAATCCACTTGAAAACGATACCCTAACTTTGTTTTGGTCTGTCACAATAAATTCGTATATAATACGTAACTTATTGTAAATGAGAAACACTTTCCACTATGCACTTCAAAAAATCCAAATGGACCCAAATGGAATTTGGGCAGAAAAGTTCACCGGTTTACCTGTATGCACATGTTTCCCATCAGGGGCAGCGTTTGGTCATGCATTTTTCTTCTTTGTCCTCCTCTAAAATCTGCCATTCCAAAGCCAGAGAAACCTCCTCTTCCTCTGCCTCCTCGCCCCCCTCCTCCCATTCCTGCTCCTCTGCCTCGGCCTCCTTGACGGTTTTGTCTCTTCTGCCGCTCCTGCACCTCAAACTCCATCAAGTCTTTCTTGGCCTTGTCTGAAAGCTCTGGAGACACGAGGAAACATAATATTGATGCCTTCTTCTCTCAGGGAGCAAGGTATAAATTAGCCACAAAAATAATCAAGAAAACAGAAAAAAGCATACCTAGAGTTTCAGGGATGTGCCGTTTTTTACTGCCAGAATCCGCCAGGCGCACAACAGCGCCATCCTTCCTCTCAGATTTAAACCGTATTCTGCCGGATTCTGCACCTTCTTCGTCCTCTTCATCAGATTCCTCCTGCGTTTCATCCTCAAGAAGAGTCTTATTCCCACCCTGGAGACAGTGCCCAGCATTAAAATCACAAGTACCATGGCGGTGTGTGGTGTAGAGGTAGCGCAGTTGCAGCCGTCCAGGATTCGATTCCTGAATCTGGGACTTATGCTGCATTGTCTTCCCCCCAAATCCCTCTACCAACTGTCTGCCGCAAATAAAAGCCAATAAAATAAAAAGAATCATATAAAACATTAAGTAAACCACAGCTACAAATACAGTAATTAATGTCACAGTTACTATTCTTTGGTCCATCCAAGTTTTTAGTGTAAAAAAAATATATACATCTTAAAAATTATAACGACTTTTACAGAAGAGAGTTGCATTTATCAAAAACAGGTCAATTTTATAGCAGACGTCTTTAACTTGAAGCTCTGGGGCCTCAAGAGGCTGCCTAAGCCTGACAAAACACCTACTGAGAAAAAAATGTGCTAAAAATAATATAAAAACATCCACAGATGAACCAGTCAACTGACTGACTGATAATACAAAGGTCAAATACAAAAAATTGTTTGTGTTTTCCATGAACTGCATAATTTCAAAGAACTTGCAGCATTTTTGGTCTATAAAAACATCACCATAAAAACAAAGAAAGGTTAAGGAAATGTTTTGCTGCAATATCTCCTTTGACTTTCCACAACAGAATGACACCAATATTACTGGTAAAACTGAACAAATAATAATAATAAAAAAAAGATTAAGTTGTAGTTTCAAAATTTATACCATTAAGTCTGTTTTATTTTGCAGGAATGTGGGCAAAAAGCAGCCCTGTAGATTAGAAAAGTAGTTCATTTCTGACTTAGTACATTCCCCTTTTGATTATTTTCTTTTATCTCTAATAGGTACAATAAAAATGTTATTTATATACCCATATATGGCAAAATTGAGAAAAGTCATACAAATGAGAAGTCTGTGTTATGTAGTTTTAGATTTAATCACAAATCAATTCACTCAGTCCAGACCCACCTCCTCTGTCTCATAGACTGGAGGTTCCTCTGTAGCGTCTTCTTCTTGCTGCTCTCCTCTTCTTCCCTCCTCAGCGTTTTCCTCCCGAGTCGTTTCTGCTTCATTGCCATTGGATCTTTGAAATTCCTCATTCTTAAAGGTAAATACACAAAGTAAGTGTCAGTTCTCTGATATTTACTGACAATGTGCCACTGTATTTTAGAAATTCTTGGTAAATAAATCCTAGTTTTGTTAGAAAACAAACTAGCAAGCAGCATCTCGACAAATGAATAGAAGCAAGAGGTGAGTGAATTAAGAAAAATACAGGTTTGTTGAATTAATGTAGGATTTGCATTTTAGATATATACAATTTTTACATCAACAGATACAAAAAAAAAAACAAAAAACAAAAAAAAAAAACACAAAAAAAACAAAACAAAAGAGAATGGAGACCAAAATGTTATGGTGAGGATTTGGAAGGCACCAGGGAGCCCCACCCCTTTCCAAAGGCAAATTACCATAACAGTGGGAGCAAGGCTTCATTACTATTCCTGACAGCATTTGAAATTCAATGAGATGTAAATGTTTGACATGATATACAGAAATGCAGGCACAGATAAAAACACTCCTCCCTGCTTCAGTGATGGTGAAAATATCATTGACTGACTCCTCACAAATCACTCTGTTACTGGCTGAACTGTAAGTTCACGACTGCGTAGCGAAGGAAGCACAACATTCCAGGATGACAAATCAGTTTTTCTCTCTTTTTATCTTCATAACTCTTTCATTTGGCTTCCGATTCGTTGCAATTTATTATTATAAATTCAAAATAAACAAGTCTACCGCAGAGGCAAAAAAAATCTACAAGTCATCCACTTACTAACAGAGCCAGTAAAGCGATTCAGAATAACAAGCATTAGCTGGTAAATAAGGTCAGACTGCAGGTCACACAACAGTGTTTCTCTGTTGTACCCCATTAACCTCCCAACTGGAACGTACATAAATGCAAAACATAAAAACAAACTTGCAGAGAAGCAAACAAATGGAGTGACTCTCCCAAGAGAAGAGGACATCTTAATCATTTGAACCATTCCACGTAATCCTCAATGAAACCAGGGTGAGCAAAGAGTCAAGGTCAACCAGTTTAGTGACTCTGTAAACAGCAAATACGCATCTATACCCACACATCCCCCTAGATTGAAAAGAGACGGCCACTTTGGCTAAGAAGGTCGACATCTTATCTTTGTTTTGAAAGGGGAGGTGGGCGAATATATCTCTGTCAGGTGCCAAACACAATCACAACACGGTAAATGGAGCATAACAGACATTTGCACATGGATCCGGCCTTATCTTTGATCCTCTTAGTCTGGCTAAAGAGGAAAGGGAAACGAATAAAAGAGAAACTAACATCAATCATTAGAAAACTGTATGGAGTGTCCTTAGGAAGGTCAATAATCTTTTCACCTGTGTGAGACTTTATCAGATCCAGTGTAAAAGCCAGAAGTGGGGCGGGGGGAACCTCCCACATTAACCTCTGGCGATTGGCAGCACATCTCCCTGACACAAAGAGGCTTCTCGCTGCTCTAAAGATACACGGTCCAAGGTCACAATGGCCGCGGGATTCGAAGGCGACAGCGGCCAAACAAGCCGTCAAGTAAACTTTGTCAGCAAGATGGAGAATTTGCTGGCAGGAGGTGATAATGATTTTAATCGTCCTCTGCCCAAAAACACGCCACCAGATGTCTCCGTCTCCTGAATAGATTTTTTTTTCATCCTGACTTCTCCCAAGACGAGACATTATCTCCGGGACACAATAGAGGTGGGGAGAAAATGTGAGTGGGAGAACGTGTGGGTGCAATTGTGTGCGAACCTTTACACAGCGGCAATAAGCAAATGTGAAAACTCACTTGAAATTCACCGTCTAATGTCTCGTTGATGTCGATGTCTAGCACTTCATACTGGTAACCATCGTCACCCTCGGCTGGCTCTCCGCCGTAATCAATTTGGTTCCCAGACATCTCTGTGTTGTCCTCCTGGTTGTAGGATCCTGCGTACGCCTCTTCCTCTTGGCGGAACTCCTCCTCCTCCTCTTCGCAGCCCTCTGCACCCAGGTTCACGACATCATCTGTGTAGTCTGCTTCCTGCAAGTTGCCCTGCTGGTCATAGGAAGCTCCCATGCTGTATGAAGCATGTTGACCACTGAGAGAGAAAAAACAACATTTGAGCTGCTGGGACTCATTGTGATAGTTAATCACCTCAACAAAAGCTAAATTATTAAACGTGACGAAACGATTGTTGAAATAGTCGTCAACTAATTTAGTAATGGAGTAATTGTTGGCTGAAGTATACAGGCTCAGTAAAATGTCATTTGCTGAAAGAACAACTGATGTTAAGTCAAGCAGAAAAGGTTGAGCTTTTCATATGTTGTCAGAATTATTATTTTCAGCTGCAGATGCATCCTTTGACACAAATGGTCAAGCGTACTCCAAAGGACTGCTATGTTATTGTATTTCAGGTCATAAGATGTTTATTTTCTTATTTAAAAAAGAAATTGAACTATTTGTTTATTTGCCTCTTCCAGTATTTTATAAAAAGCTTAAGTGACTAAATGAAAAATCAGCAGAATGTGACCATTTTTTATTCAAATAATAATTGAATAATCAATTAATGGTGATTTACATTTCTCTTCTTTGAATTTGTCCTTCATGTCAATGCAGGCTGCCAATCAGCTGAACGTTTTGTAAAGTGTGGAAAACATCATCATACTGGAGACTAAGCGCCAAAGCACCTTTGTCTAGCTAATTTAAAATATAAAATAACACTTTTTAAAGAAGATATAAACTGGTGAATAAAGTTAATACATTACATGGAAACATAATCTAATATTTAATTTTAGTAAAAGGTTTAAAGCAAAACAGATTACTCAGAGCTACAGTCATGACTGAAAAGTTATAAGAGTGACATCGTATATATCTTTGAAGAATCTGCGGTGAGATTCCTCTACCTATATTCTTTGATGAAGAACAAACACAAAATGTGAAATAAACTGAAGAAATAAACTATATAAAATTTTTTTGAATATCTTGAGGGAAATCAGCTGCTTTAAATAGTTGCTACATTGAGAAAAATGCCAATTAGATTGATAAAAAAAAAAGGCAAAAGAGGCAGGGCTAATGTGTTAGAGAAACAGAAGCAAACACTGATGCTAAATCTGAGCTTAAAAAATGATCTGGAAACATTATTTTATGGAAATGTACCTCGTGTTTAGGTCGTCATCGTCACTTTGAAGAAGGTCGTCATTTAGCTCTTCATCTGACATTTCTGAAGGATTCTAAAACAAAGTTTAAAAAAAACATCATTCTAATGTGACATTTTCAGCCCATGTTAAAACTGTTCCGCCTATGCCTCTTATAGGAGTGTGTGTGTTTGTTAAAGGCGTGGGGGCAGGTCACCTCCAACCCCTGAGGATGCTTTATTCCCATGTGGTGAAGGCAATCTGGGCAGGTCAACACTGGCCTTTTTTGTCCACTACATTTCCTCCTGTTTCACATCAACAGCTCCCCCTGCGGAGGAGCCACCTGCTACATGTCCAATCCTCACAACTATTCTCAAGGGTTTCAACAGTAATATTGCCTAATGTTTTGGACGTCATATTCCTGTCGTAAGCACAAAATCCGCTTCAAACTCAATTGTTTTGCTGCTGCAAAATGAAACAATAACCGACTCCCAAACATTTTTGTTTACGCTTACCTTTTTAGCAGACAGCCAGTCTTCCTCCAACAAATCCTCTTCCAAATCACTGGACAATGTAAAATTAGAGCAGTGTCAAATAAACATATAAATAGATGGATAATGCAGATAGAATTAAGCCTGTCTCGTCTTTTTTAATACAGAGCATTAGTCATTCTTTAGTATCTTGAAGATTCATGTCATCTTGCAGCCCCAAATGTTACTACATGCAGGGCTTAAAGTAAAAAAAAATCCTGAGCCTGAAACTTATAGTGGTGATAGAAATGAACTATACCGTTGCTATTGCCACAGTTTAATAAAAAGTGTCTTTGAATAGTGCAAACAATTGCTTCTAACAATACAATTAATAAGCTAAACACTCAAACTTAAATAAGACTTCAGTACATTTCAACTCAAAACAAAATATAACATGTCTGTGCCCTAAAGGTTTGCCTTACAGGCAAAATTCCCTCAACATTAAATAAGAGTCCTTTCAGTTAATGTTTTTACAAGTAATTTAGAACATGAAACATTACCAACTATATCAGTGTTTCTCAACCTTTTTCGGGCCAGCGCGCCCTATCCCATATCCAGGTCCCTCAACAAATCCATGGCACTTCAACAATATTATTTTTCCTTTACCTGCATTTATTCTTGCCATACAGTCCTCTGTATTAATTATTGCT